TTTGTGTATGTAAGTTCCCTTTTGATGGCATACTCTTTGCTAAAAGAGAAGAATCTATCAAAAGTGAACTCTCCGCTATTATCAGTGTGCAATCCTTTAATTTTTCTTTCAGAGCACTTTTAATTGTTAACTTGAACCCTTAAAATTTTGGAAAAGCTTTTGTTTTTTCCTTCACAAAATAGACATAAGTGAACCTTATAAAATTATCAATAAAGAGAAGCAAGAACATGGTGTTTGAATAGGGCTCATTAGATCGATATGTATGAATAAGCTCCAAGGAAAATTTACATCTTGAAAGTAATCAATCAAAAGGTTACTTGTGTATTTTGCTATATTAATATCTTTTACAAACTTCATTATCACTAAAAGTAGTAAGATTGGAAAGACCATTCACTAATTTTTTTGCATTATAATCTTCAATTTAAGAAAATTTATATAACCTAGTCTAGCATGTCAGATTAATATATCGTCATTTGTACTCTTCTTATCAATATAAGAGATTGATGCTAATAAAATATATAAATCTTTGATTCTTTTACTAGTGTGTACTATATCTGCATTTAATTCTTTTATATTATGAAGAAACTTGATTTCATTAGCACCAAAAAGAATATAATTTTCAGCATCAACTATATTTGCAACATAAAAAGATTTTTCTTCATACCTAGAACATGGTACACACTTCAATATAATAGGATCATTGTCTTTATTTGAAATTATAATGATGTCTTCTTTGTCTACTTGGTGAACAGTATTATTTGCCATGATAATTACATCATTACCTTCGTATTGATGAAAATTTATGAATTTGGTACAATCACCAGTGAGATGATGATCACATCCTAAATCAACAATGCAGTCATGCACTAGTTTCCAGCACATCATTGGTTGGAAAATAAATGGGAGCCTCATCTAGACCGTCCTATCTTGGATTTTAAATACAAAAATGTAATTGAACCGATCATTACATCATCACTACATCACTTGATCATTGGTTGGATCGATGGGTCTATCGATTGGACCATATGTTTGATTAAAAATATTTTTAAATATATAAATAATTAAAAATATATAATATCAATCAAATATTATAAACATAAACTTTTATCTAGATTAAATACCATGCAATGATATCAATCTAAGAGGTAATTATATTAATCTAACACAAAATAAATTAATCAATGATACAAAGGCAATGGATATTTTCTAGGATATCAAAATGAAATGAATAATATATGCATACGAATTTCTCATATAAAATGTAGTATGATAATTCAACCAAGAGATTATTTTGTAATCATATTCTAAATTTTTAAAAGTATTTTTTATTTATTGCAACATTTGATTTATTTTCTCGTAATCATTTTGATGACTAGGGAAAGAAAAGGTGAGACGTGAGGATAGGTGGAGAGAGAACGATAGTGAGAGAAAAAGGAGGTAAACGAAGAGAGGATGGTCAAAAAAGAAAAATAATTACGTGAGAGATCTTTTTTTTTCTCACGTTAATCTTAATTTTAAAATTAAAAAAATATTATCTTAAATAAATAATAAACAAATTAAGGTATGGATATTTAAATAAAACTAACTATTTTTATAAAATTAAAATCGATTTTATTCGATTCATCTAAATTCATCAGGGTTATTCAAGAGTCAATCAAGTCAATCGATTCATTTTAATATTTTAATATAATTGATCCTAACAAATTAGAACAATTAATGATCTAATCCTCAATTAGTCTGATATGATTATTTGGTTTGTTCCATTTCTAATAATTATGCTAACAGGACTACGAGGGCCTATGTGAAATTATTTGTTTTTAGTGAGCTTCTCAATTTTATTATATTGAAAAGGCACTTATGAGAATAAAGAATAATGAATAATTATTTATTTTGAGGAAAACAAGGGTCAATGTGAAATTATTTGTTTCGAGTGAGCATTCCGATTTTATTACATCGAAAAGGCACTTATCATTTATATTATTACTTGATAAATTATCATTTATATTGAAGGCACATTAAAAATATTGACGAGTATTAGTAAAACAGGGCATGAATTAAATACCGACGAACAGAAAAAGGAAGCAAAGTATTAGTAATAGAACTCATGGTTTGGATGAGATTGTGCAAAAACAATGCTGCCGATCAAACTATCGCTTCTCATTTTAAGTTTTGGAATCAAAGAAAAGAAATAGGAGCAGAAGAGGACGAAGAATTAAGTGAATACAAGAGGGACCGATGGAGAACCCCGACCAAACGCCAACTCCATCATCGTCATCATTGAAACGTAGGGCGGAGATGGGTGCTGCCGTGTACCCACAATGATTGCCTTCCGCCAACTCAACACCCCTGCTGCGGTGGGCCCTGCGGCGGAGCTGGCCGGAGTTGCCGTCTGTGGAAGCGAAGAAGCGGCGTCTCCTCCTCCGCCCTACTCTTCCGCCGCCGCTGCCGGATGTATAGAGTTTATACTTTGTTGCGCTGCCGACAGTTTTAGTTCGGCGGTCAGAGATGGTTTGATTTCTCCTTCAGCACATGCCGAGGTGGGCGTGTTGCCTATGTCGTGGTGGTAGCGACTTACGAACGCCAGCATTCCTCTCCCTTTTCGCCCGTTGTATTTGTAGAACACCAAACACGAACTCATGGTATCCTTCCGGATTTAGGTGATACGTCCATACCAAGGTGCCCCATTTGCACCAACTTGATGTTGCTTCCTTTCTTTTTCTTTGTTGTGGTGGGAAGCGTGATTGATCTTTGGCGGTACCTAATCGTCAATAATGCAACGGGAATTTGAGTTGCTAATCTAATTGAATCTTGTTCTGGCTACAAGCAGCAGCTATTTCATGGAAAGACGATGGTGAATTCTCCAACACATCCATTGTATAGTAAGACATGGCTGACGCCCGTCTTTCGTTTCGTAACTAAGGACTTGACTCGCGTCTCAGTGCATGAGCTACTTCGTCTCCGCTGCTTCTTCGACCTTATAATCTCCGTTCCCCTTCTTCCCCGCACACCACACAAGCGCTCCCTGCTTCTCTCTTCCTCCTCCTCCTCCTCAATTCCTACGGTTAGTGTAGCATTCACCATTCTACAGCCAGCAGAGGCAATGCAGCGAGCTGTTCCTCTCCTTGCCGCTTCTCTCCTGCTGTTGGCCGCTGCTGCCACCTTTCCGGTGGCACGCGGCCACAACATAACCAAGATCCTGGCGCAGCACCCGGAATTCTCCACCTTCAACCACTACCTGTCGGCCACCCACCTAGCCAACGAGATCAACCGCCGCCTCACCATCACGGTGCTCGCCGTCGACAACGCCGGCATGTCCGACCTCCTCGCCAAGCACCTCTCCCTCCTCACCCTCCGCAACGTCCTCTCCCTCCACATCCTCAGCGACTACTACAGCTCCAGGAAGCTCCACCAGCTCAGCAGGGGCTCCACCATCTCCTCCTCCGTCTTCCAGTCCTCCGGCCACGCCCCCGGCACTACCGGCTACATCAACATCACCGACCACCGCCGGGGAAAGGTCACCTTCATCACCGAGGACGCTGGCGGCGCCCCGCCTGCTGTCTTGGTTAAGTCCTTGAAGGAGATCCCCTACAACATCTCCATCCTGCAGATAAGCACCATCCTCAGCTCCCCCGAGGCGGAGGCCCCAGTGGCGGCGCCCGCCCCCGTCAACCTCACCGTGCTCCTGGCCAAGAAGGGCTGCAAGGCCTTCGCCGATCTGCTCCTAGCCAGCCCGGACGTCCTTCAGATCTTCGAGGACAACCTCGACGTCGGGCTCACCGTCTTCTGCCCCAGTGATGGCGCCGTCAGGGCCTTCGGCCCCAAGTACAAAAACCTCACTGTCGACGGTAAGGCCTCCCTCCTCCTCTACCACGGCGTGCCGGCGTACTACTCTCCCCAGCTCCTCAAAACCAACAACGGCTTCTTCACTACCCTCGCCACCACCAGCCGCAACAAGAACTTCCACTACACCGTGCGGACCGACGGCGACGCCATCACGGTCAAGACCCGAGTTGTCACCGCCACCATCACCTCCACAATCCTCGACCAGGATCCTGACGCAGTCTACGCTATCAACAAGGTGCTCCAGCCCCGGGAGCTGTTCAAGATCCCCGAGGTCGTCGAGGCCGACGCTCCCGCACCGGCTTCCAAGAAGTCCAAGCACGCCGCGGCAGGCCCCGAGGAGTCACCTGCGGACGAAGAGGCGTCGGACAACTCTGCTCTCAGTCTCAGCGCCGCCGGAAGGTGGCTCACCGCCGCCATGGCTGCCACTTTGGCGGCAGCAGTCATAGTCGTCGTCTGATATAATAATGTAAAGGTTCACGCATTCTTCTTCTTGTCCTTCTGTTATTTATCTGTGCCATCAAAAATTTTCCTGTTTTACTTCTTCTGGTGTTGCAATCTCACGATTTGGGACGGGGAATAATTGAGGACCAGAGAGATATACATATAATCTTTCTATATATACACATATACTCTCTTCCTCCGGTGAATTTGTTCTGTAGATTGTGTGGTTTTAAATGGTGATGATGAGTTACTTTATACATGGTCACTGTTTGGAGACTGCATGGATTTAGTGAGTGTTTACACTCTGTCATACTATAGTTATACTCTTCTGGTGTTCAACTTTATAATATTACCAGAGAACAATACAAGAAAACAATTGAATTTGGATGATATCATCCCAATCCGAGCAATATGTTTGTTTAAATCCTGTAAAATTTTCAAAGGCAGATGTTCATTTTTCAATGAAATGCCTTTCGTACATGCATATACAAAACAATTAAATTATCCACCCAGTTTTCCTTGCCAAGGAACGGGAACAGGCAGTTGCAGCCACAGCCTACCTTCAGAGAACTGATGAGAACGCCATATGTACTCAATCAACCGCTTTACAAGCATGCATGCAACAATCCTCCCCAGCAGAGATATGTTTAGCAATCTCCAATAATTTATGATGATTCGGTGCTCCAACAACACATGGTCGATCAAACTCATCCAGGTTTAGAAGAAAACCACTGCCATGTAATCGATCAGTACAATTCACAGCGACCAATGGTCGAAAAGGACAGATTCATACAAGGACTTGGACGTTACAAGACTCCATAGAGAGGACCAGAAGCATACACGCCAATTAGCTTCTCGGTTCTGCAAGAAAAAGCTTCACGTGATTACAAAAGAATACACAATGCTATTACAACGAGGACAAGAGGCAACGCCTTGCAGGTTCATCGGTTGGATGATCACAAAAAATTCAAACTGTTGAAACATAGTCACTTGCTGGTATCAGCCTTTTTGCCGCTTTGGCACTTGTTCAGACTCCTCAATGTTGCTCCCTGGCACCGAGTTTCCCATTATTTGATGAATATGTGAATTGTCCGAGTGATCCTATAAACGATAATATGGAACACGTTATTTAGTAGTTTCTAAACAGGGTAAGGCCATTAAGTGTGGATTCTTGCGCGTCCACATATAGTTCCCTCAGCAAAACTAGCCATAAATCCATAACGGTCCAACCACCACGTTAGAATACCAATTTAATAAAGCACTGCTTAAATATTGTGTAAAAAATTATTAATGAGATCAATTAGCTGGTGAGCATATCCACAAGAAGAAAAAACACATGATGTTGATTAACAAAATATCTTATGTATGATGTTATTCATCTTATGTTGTCATCATCTGTTGGAAGAACAAGGATATAATTCCATTAGAAACAGGTAAATCTATAGTGCATCTGCCCACCAGCATTGGGTACCATGAGAACTTCCAAGAGAGTTATCTACTGAAATTGGATTCAACATGTTCCATAATCACATTAATCATTCTAGTTGCTAAATATAGGACAAGGAACAAACAAGATAGTTCACACCTTTGCATTGGACATATTAGCAGTGGTAGGCCTTTTGCTTGCACCCTTGCCAAGATTTATCTGCACAGAAATGCTGGCTTGAGACAGATCTACTCCTGAACTAGCCATGGCTTGTGACAATGCGGTCAATAACCTGCACGCAGGTAATCCATAAGGAGTTCATTCTACATTTGACAAGAAGACAAATTTTCCCATGAAAGCGCATAAAAAGTTGTCATGACAATCTGAACAAAAATGTTTCAGTTGAATGATGACTCACCCTTGGGAGTAGACACTAGAAATGCTAATTGTGCCCTCATCAATTATTAGCTCTTCATGTTCATTCAGCATATCACTGCTCAAATTGCAATCGGCCATGCATGATGAACTTTGCCACTCAGATTGAGACTGAGACACTGGATTATCTGAGTCTGAAATCACCCTCTCCTGAGGTTGCATAAAACCAGATCCCCTTCCAACAGAAGCATAATAGTTTGACTGCATGGGAACAAGCACTGCACCTGGACTCATATCAGCTTCTGCCACATTGTGTGCGTTTGAGAGGGACATTGGTGCCCCAGGGATGCTACTATCAACAAACTTTCCAGAAAACAAATGGCCAGATTGAGAACCATTTTTTGTAAGGTTAGGAGGATCAACCATACCATCTCCCGGGCCTTGATTGCTACTCTGGTACAAGGCAAGAAATTTATCAGATAAATCTAGATCCCGTATTGAACTACTATTTAGTGTCTTAAAAATTTTGTTCCTCTTCTTCTAATGTACACTAGCAAGTGCTCACATCCATCCACATACATGCGCATGCACAAGCACATACTAAGTTGTGGGAACATCATGAGATTACTTTAATTTGAGGAGATTGGTTTTTTCTTTCATACATCCTAGAGTAACCAGATACATCATTTTAATCCTGAAGAAAAACAAAAGCACACATGGCAGGGCCTTAAATTGCATATGAATAGACATTAAAATACAAAGAAAACAACAATTATTAAGGCTATCACTAGTGAAGGATGAATTTTGATTCAGTTTTCATTTAATTTCCAATTCAAACCGAACATGTCGCATTTTCCAAGATTTTAAACTATTATGAACCAAATCAAATAACAGATAGAAATTGAATTTGTTGGTTTCCGATTGGTTTTTAATGCAGTTTTTAATAGGTAAGATATCTCAAAGATGCTAAGTAATATACAACCAAAATATACACCTGAAATATTATATTCATGATGGTAAAGTATGTTACATTAGTTTATGTATATACATTTTGATAGTTTAATAATATCTACTACGATTACAAGAATTAATATTTAATATAAATGTATTTAACTATGTGATATTTGGTTGTGTTCAGTTTTATGACATGATGTCTGACACAACCTCATAATTCTGACTGATATAAACATCTGATACAGAAATATTTAACTGTTCCCTTATGTGACATGACCAGCAGTAAGTTGAGTTAATCGGTTAATAGAACTGCAAGGTTTCAGTCATTTATGATCGATTCTTAAATCTGTCCTAGTTCCTTCTATGGAGATTGTGTTCTACTTGCACTCCTGAAGAAAATAATTGTCATTTCACCACAGATCCAACTCTTCCCAAATGCCAACAACTTTGCTTATTTCTTGTCAACTAATGAGATTAATTTGGAAACAGGGGAAGTATTTAAATTATCAATCAGCATTAAACATCTAAGGAACTATGAAGATTGCTCCTAAATTGCATTTGATTGACTGAAATAAGGAAGTTCATTTAACATAGTGTCTCTCCAGAGACATATTTGGGCATGAACATTGTGATAGTAAGCTAGTATCCAGACTTAGAATGATTAATCATGTCAACAGTAAGTAAAATAAATGTATAACAAGAAAAAGAAATTGTTGCAAAGAAAAATGGAAGTAACAAAATCATTGCCTGATAAATAAATTAAAAATGATTTGATTACTAGCATCACTTGGCACAGGGTTTAGCTGGACCTCTTACAGGAAGAATGGGAAGCTTTGGACAAGAATTTGGGCCCCCACCAATACAGAGTCAGGCATGGCTAGGGATGATGAAGGTGCAGACCAAAGCTGGACCATTAACATTACAAATATTGAATAACAGGATGGACAATCAAGTCATCATAAGACCCACAGAAACTGATAATCTTTAGCTGGGACAGGTATGTCAATAAACGGAATAAGACACACTGGTTCTCAGAACCCCTTGCTTCTTTACACCCCTAACCAGTATGTGTAACTAATAATTTTATAAATTAATAGATAAACCCAGTATACCAACAAAACGGTTAAGTGCAATATTATTCTGTTTTCTTAATGTATGAATATATTGTAACATGTGGATTGTTTAAGTAATCCAAGCATGAAATGCAGCACAAAAATGCATGCTTCCTCCTTGCAAGTGGATAAACCAAAAATTTTTGGTCTTCAAAATTTTGTCAACATGGTCAAATAAGCAAGCCAATGATTTGTTTTTAACTCATTCATCAAACAATTAAATGATTTGCCTCTTGATGCCTAAATCCTAGGTATGTATTCATTCTCATGGCAAATGTAAGGAAAAAATGACAGAAGATTACCCATGGCATCAATTTTTCATTTTCCTGATTCCAACCTGGAAATGATTCATACTTTTGTACCTTCTCTTGTAAAAACTTAATGTATTCAATAACCTGCATGAGAACACAGCTCCTATGAAGTACTATTCTAATAACTTAACTGCAAAGAGAAAGCATTAAAAAGCATAAAAAAACTGCAGCTACCTCCAAAAGAAATGAAGCTTTATCCCTCTTTTGATCACTATGTGGTATCAGGTCTCTAAGTATCTGAAATCTGCATGTCATAAGACGAGCTGGTAATAGATAAAATGTAATAGCACAAAGCTTAGTACTTCAATTTTAAAGTTTGTCAGCTGTTCATTTTGGCTTTTCCGGTTTTCCAAAGACAAAGTAAAGACATCCAATTTCCAGCAAGAAATAAGAAACTTTAAAAATAACCATGAAAGTCCTGAGGAATGTGATAAAAACAATCCAAATAACAGAATAATCATCGCACCTTCTGTTGTAATCCTAATAATAATATATCAATAAAGTCTTATACACAAATCAAATAATATGCTAAACTGCTGCTGTTTGAATATGCCCACCTAATCATGCTTTCATGGACGGCCATGCTGATACTAAATGAGTGCTCATCAGTGCATATTTGTCGTCTCATACTAGCATGTAGGTGGGCACAGATGAATGGTCCTTCTTGACAAGCTTTTTACAAACATACACATAAGAATACATAGTAGTTTAACAAATTATCCCAAGTCAGTCTGTATAAGCAAATTAAATTAATTATATGCCTAGCATGGCATGTTGTTGTGGTATAAATAAGAAAGAAGCCCAGATGTTCCACATCAATGGGATATTGATGGGAAGTTGAGGAAGCTCATGGCCTATAAACAAGTGCCTGACAAGGAAGACCAAGCAAATGCTTGGCCCACATCATTGGTGCCAACTGTGGGAACCCATAGTTTATCCACAATACAAGCTATTTCAGCTAGAAAGGCTCTGCTTTTGTATAATTAGAGGACCAAAGTTCCCACATTGTTGGGGTCAAATAACCATGTGAGCTACATGTAAAAGTCCATTCTTGATCAGGTGTCTTTTCTAAGGTCAAAATCATGCAGCAAATTGCCCAATCGAACAATTTCTCATGCAAAACAACACATTAAAAGGCTTTCACTCACAATTGCTCCTTGAATGATTTCATCTAACTTTCCTAACATCCCAATTGACTCAAATCATATAGTTCCTTTTTATGAACATAAGCTCTCATGCTATTATCTCTTCTAGTATTGCAACAAAGGACAAAGAAACCCATTTTACATTAATTGGTTTGGGTCAATGACAGCTAATTCCACACACTAGGTTGGCCATTTCCCATTTTCTCAGTCAAATTTAATATGACTTTAGTAAATTCCAATCCGGATCCATTCTTTAAACAATTTTTACAAACACAATTTTGCAAAATCATTTGCACCCTCAGCATTATAAGGTGTGGCACCACCATGGTTTAAAATTTTGGTTTCCACCAATTGCTGCAGACGTGTAATTGTCAATCCAATGGCAGACCAGTATGCAACCCAAGCAAATTCACCCAATCTGTAAACTCATTTGCACCCTCAGCATTATAAGGTGTGGTCCCACCATGGTTTAAAATTTGAATTTGTACCAATTGCTGTGAACCAGTAATTGTCGGTCCAATGACCGACCAATATGCAGCCCAAGCAATTTCATTCAATCCAATCTGAAACCTAGCTTACCACCTGGTAAAGTCATTGTACCAGAATTATTGAGTGGTAAGCTGACCAATACCAAGCTATATTGGACAGTAAGCCCATCATTGATATTAATACCAGGTCTTCTTTGTCGCAATTTTTTTCTGTTTGTGTAAACTGCCAACAGCTGTCTTATCTTTTTGTTTACCTTCTTTTCCTTATCTCTCCCCTTCTCCATCTCCTTCGTCGTGTCCTCCCACTTTTCCTCTGCCTCCTCTTCTCCTTCTCTTCCTTTTCTCCTTCCTCCTCTTATTCAGCCATCGCCTCCTCTTCCTCTCACTCTCTGCTGGTCTGGCTTGTATCGATCTGTAGCACCCTATACCTATACTTAGATGTATGGCAATAATTTAAAAAGCGTTAGGCACCAAAAGATGCCAAAGTCCAAAAACGCCCCAGGCGCTAGGCGCTCGCCCAAGCGAAACGAGGTGCTAAAATATAAAAATATATAATATAATTAATAAATATAATTATTTAAATAAAAAATATGCTATTAAATTAAAAAAATCTGGTACAAAATCATAATAAATAAATAAATAAATCATAATAGTATATTTTTTATTTTTTAAATAAAAGATATACTATTAAATAAATAAAAATTAATAGTATTAAAATCAAAATAATATATTATTAATCTAATAAATAAAAATACTATTATTAGTATACAGTTAGCAGTATACTGTTAATATACTGTTAACAGTATAGTGAGAAGACCGAGGCTACTAAGACAACGACAGCGATAGCAGGCGACAGTTATAGCTAAAGCGGGAGCGACAAGGAGCGACGGCGACAGCGGGAGCAGCGAACGACAGAGGGAGTGGGAGCGGGAGCTGCGAGCGGCAGCAGGAGCGGTGAGCGACAACGGGAGCGGCGACAACAGCGACGAGCGACGACAACAGCAACGAGTAGCAATTGTGGCAGCGGCAAGTAGTCAGCGAGCAACGATTGTGGCAGCGGCAAGTAGCGACAGTAGCGGCAAGCAGCAACAGTGGCAACGGTAGCAGAGAGCAGCGACAGCACAGAAAAAATCTCGACTGCAAAATCGCGAGTGTTAGGGTTGGGGAAGTTGGGGAAATCGCGAGAGGGAGCTTGATATCGATGATTTAGTTGATTCGATTGAACCAACTAAAGCACCGGAGACCAACCAAACCTAAAAATCTAGTTCGGTCGCCTGGTTTAACCCAGGCGCTCGCCCGAAGCACCAGGCGCCTGGGCTCGGGCGAGCGCCCAGGCGATGCCTCTTTGAAGCGAGGCGCCTGGACATGAAGCGAGGCGCTCGGGCCTCGCCTCGCCCGGGTGCCCGAGCACCTATTGAAATCACAGATGTATGGTACAGATATTGTACCAGTCTGGCCACCAATGGATATCGATATCGAACCAAGATTTTTATTCTTGGATATCACAATAGTCCACTTAGAAAAGAATGAAAATATACATGAGTTAGGTGGTCTTTTACTAAATATTTAAAAAAATTTAACAACTTAAGCAAGTGGCTGCTCCACTTAACAAAAGCTATAAGGCTAGTTAATCACTTGGATCATGACAAATAGTGTCTATTAATTTCCATGATCCCTTCACATGGGCTAACTCATTGTTAGTCACATTGATGATCCAAGTGAACCGAACCCAACGAAGAGAGCAAGATCATTAAGGACAAGGCCAACAACAATTGGTGGCCATTTCCCGTGTTACCCTATAGGAGGCTTCAAAAAAATATATTAGGAGGCTATTAGAGATTTAAGTGAAAATTAAGATAACTCAAATTGCTATACCGAGAAGACAAGATCATTAAGGATGTGGCCAACAACAATTGGCAGCCATTCCCCAGTGTTACCCTATAGGAGGCTTCAAAAATATATATTAGGAGGCTGTTAGAGATTTAAGTGAAAATTAAGATAACTCAAATTGTTATACCAAGAAATAACGAGGGTACCTAGAACATTTTAGGCCATGTGCCTGGACCTACTCCATACAAGTTACTAAATAATAGGTCTAGAATAATGACACAGTGACAACATGCTCTCACACCTCTTACCCACTTCGTTAAATAATGGTGCAAGCTTTAAACTTCTTGGAAGTGGATCATAATCAACTCATCTATGGACATCAGGCAAACAAAGTGACATAAATTAAATGAAACACAACTAAATTGGTCATATAAACCCACGAGAGATTATAGTGCATCCATGAAACGTCATATAGGTAACATAAAAGGCAAGCAAAAATGGACAAACTCAGTGCACAAGGTTCCATCCAATGCAGGCAGGACTGCAGACTTAAATATGTGACTTAGATGGTTTACCAAAAATTTAGGCTAGAACATTTTATGCCTAGTGTCTAGACCTACACCATATAATTCACCACAAAGTAAGTCTGAAATCATGACATAGCGATAACATGCTCTCACACCTCTTATTCACTTGAAAAATGGTCCAATATTTTGACTTCTCACATGTGGGGTCATAATCAACTCGTCTATGGAGATCAAGTAAACAAAGTATATTAACTAAACTGGCTGTATAAATCCACAAGAGATTTTAGTGCATCCAATTAAATGTCATATATATAATATAAAAGGCAAGTTAAAAGAGGGTGAATCTAGCGGATAACGCTCCCGCCATTAATGGAATCGTGGGGACCAATGTATCCAACCTCACCTCTAGATACAGTGAGGTTGTCTTCGTGACTCAAACCCTAGTCACATGCATCGCAAAGGAGTAACTTAACCATAGTACAAAGGCCCATCCTCATATAAAAGGCAAGCTACCACAAGGAAAGGCCTTTGATAAAAGATAACAAAAGTGAACTCCATTTGAAGGAATAAAAGAAGGCACCAGATTACACTGAATGGATGAAAAAACTTTATGCTATAAAGCTAGAACCTAGTACAATAAATTGCCATCTAAACAAACTAAAAAATAATTTATCTACTTTTGTTTTATTGGAATGAGAGCAACAGCAACTGATGATAAAATAGCAGGATAAAGTATAGTGGAAGGATTTAGGCTGCGTTTGGGAACACATTTGCATTTTTAATATGCAGTTAGAGAAACGGTTTTGAATAAATGTGTAATCATAAAATGCTTTGAGTGTTGGTAAATAATAGATGAAAACTGCAATTTAAATGTGCCTTGACGTAAGTGTTGCATGGTAAAATTGTATCTCAAAAGTCCATTGAATATTTTATGACAAACTTACCCTTTTAATATTTTTAATATTTATTCAAAAGTAAATACATAATTTTTATTTAAATTAATAATAAAATTTAAAATAAATAAATAAATGTATGTAATCTTATAAAAAATTTCATACAGCCCAAATATACAATAAATAAAAAATATAATCATATAAATAAATATAAAATAATCTTTAAAAATAAATAAATAAATAAAATTCTACCTTTATGAAAAATATAAATTATATTGATTTCTCACTAAATCATTATAGTAATCTTGTAATTTTAGATAAGGTCATAGGGTACTTTCAAAATTTTAAAAATATATTAGCATCCTCCAAATGCTAATGCTACTATGAGGGGTGTTTGAACATTTCCAATACAACATCTAAACTTGATGTGATTTAAAAAAAATTTATTAAACACCGATTCACATTTGAAATGTGCATTGGTCCCTGAATGCACATTTTAAATATATTTCCAAACACACCCGTAGTTCAGGTTTGCTCAAGTTTCAATAACATACCTATTTCGACTTAACTACTTAAACGTACTTTAAATATCCAACTTAACTGCCTTGCAATATATTCCTTTGTTATTAATATTGTCAAAATCATCTTTTGAAGATCATTGCATGCGAAATTCTACCCAGTAGACCCAGAAATTTAGTAACTATTCATGTTAAGAGATTGGTGAAGGTACTTGGCAGATCTAGTACTGCATTCACTATAGAATTGCGATCAAGGCTATCTATTCATAGAAAAGAGAATTGAACTAGAAGAGACTAGAAAGTTGATGCTATAAGAACTACAATGTGTTAAGGAGCCGATCAAAAAATCACGATAGACGATAGGAATATGTGATCAAATTGACTGGTGACTGACCTGTCATTGATTTTGCACCTCCGACGCTGCTCGGTCGCAGAATGCTTTGATCTTGGCGTAGTTGGCGTGCCTGGCTTCTGTTCACTACTCTTCCCATCAACCTTCACCGTGAGTTCCACTGGAGAAACCCACAGAAACGAAAATTGATATTTTTGGCAAAGAAAGGCCATTCGTACCTCAAAAGTACCTCTTGTTTCTTGGGCTCAGCAAAATATTTAGCTTTTTAAAAGCAACATAGGTTTCAAAAGAGAGATGGGCACCCTTTTCAGAAAAATGGTGTATAAAGAGGGAAAACCAAAAGAAAACGCCAAAAAGTCTATATTTTATAGGTTTTGATTAGGTAATTGGAAAAATAGATATTAAAACAGAGGATAATCACGGTAAAACTCGTTCTCAGCATATGAATTTTCGGAAAGAGAACAGATCATGCTATGATTTTGCCTATGAAATTTGAACTTCGCAAAACAAGGCCTTTCATAAAAGAAACATAACAAAATGTAGAGAGAGAGAGAGAGAGAGAGAGAGAGAGAGGATTTCTCTTCAAGGAACCTCTTCGAGACGATTCCTGCGCTCTCCCCATCTCGTCCTCGTCGCCGCTCGATCTCGAGACCGACTCCATCAGCCGCTTCCCACGCCCAGGCTCACCAGCTCCCGAAGCAACCCTTAGGTTGAGAAGAGAGGAGGAGATCGACGGAAACCCTAATCTGAACTTTACTCTCACCCAAGTCTCTAATTTCTCTCCGCTACAGGAAAACAAAAATGGAAAGAAGAAAAACCAGAAAGGAGGACAAGAGCAAACTGGCATTCTTGCCCCCGGTGAAGTCCCAATATCCCCAATCCAGGCTTTCCAATTGACGTCCTTGCCCCTACTAACTTGCAGGAAATTACACGAACTGTCATGGAGTGTCTGCGGCCAATTGGACAGGTCCGTAAACAAACACAATCCGAGTCATTAAAATTCAATGTTTGATGGGAAGAAGCATACCGCAGTTCCAAATATTAAGATTATAATTTCTTTCTCTACTTTGTTGATTGATTAATTAATATTTGTGTGATGTTATTCTCTTGTCTTTATCCTCAATTGATTGATTTCCAAAGAAGAATGATCGTGTCAGTCATCAATCATTTAATCTTTTGTGCATCTGCGATTTTGAGTTACGATGTCATCTTTTCCTAGGCTTCGTGATGGAGAGAATAATAATGTCCTTTTTCTTTCACCAACCAATGGAGTAAAATCCTGATTTTGCCGCTCCATTTTGTACCAAGATAAAGTTTAACCTTTTATATAAAATTGTTGGGGGTAATTTATTAAAAGAAAAACTCAAGCTTTTATCAGATGATTGATATGCTTATATTTAATTTTAAGAAGGAAGATTTTATTTTTAGATCTTGATCAAAATATCCTCGATGAAATTATAAAACATAATAATTATATTTGATTAGGTTTTTGAGATCTTAATCGATTTCTTTGAAATGAACCCACACCTCCTCCACCAATAATTTAATCTGATCAGATTGATTCAATTAAATTTTAACTATCTAATTTGATTTAATTAAGTCTCTGATTACTTAATGATTTCTTCAAATTAACCACACCTCCCCGTCATCTCCTCCTTTCACTTTCTCACCTCCTCCCCTCTTCATTGGCTTCTTTCTTCTCCCACTTTCTTTTTCTTTTCTCCTAGTTATTACTCTTAAATTATGCTAAGTTACACTCGGATTATACTCAAGTTATACTCATTTACAAAATATATTAGTTTTCATATAAAATTATCATAAAACTAAAAAATAAATAATTCATAAAAAATATATATTAATTTTTATATAAATTTATCTTAAATTACTCAGAAAAAATATTACACTTAAGTTACACTCAAATTGCACTCATTCATATAATATATTAAAAAATATATTAATTTTTATGTAAAATTATCACAAAACTAATCATAAAATCCTATATTTTTTATTTATTAAGTTGACTTAGTTATACTCAAAATTAATCTAAGTTAAACTTGATCATCTAAACTATTTTAAAAATAATTTTTTTTATTTTTAGATTATTTAAGATAATTAATTATCAAAATTTTGAGAACTCTATTAGAATATGATCTTAATAAAAAAAATATACTACTACTTTTATTTTTATAATAAATTAAAAATAAATTTATATAAAAATTAATATATTTTTAAGATATTATGTGAATAAGTATAACTCGATTGTAACCCGAATGAATACTAAATGCAATATAAATTTTTTAAAATAAACTTTGAGGACGAAAAGGAGAGAGCAGTAGAGAAGAAATAGAAAACAAAAGAGAAGGAAAATGAGAGAGAGGAGGAAGAGGGAGAGGGGGAGGATGCAACAAGAGTAGGAGGAGGAGGATAAAGCCAATGGAAAGGAGAAGAAGACGATAGCATCAGAAAAGGAGAAGTAAGTCAATGAGGAGAGAAAGAAGGCGATGGAGGTAGAGTGAAAGGAAGGAAAAGATAGGTTCATGGCTAGTGGAAGGGATTTGACCCAATTTGAAGAGATCCAACCTATATCAACTTGATTCAGATTGAGATACCTCGACTTGATCTAACTAGCCCACAGATCGATTAGACTTGAAATAGTTAGATTCAAAGGTAAAAACTAGATTTATTTATCGAAATTTTAAATAAAAGATGTACACATAGTAAAAACTAAATATGAGGGCGTCAACTAACAAAAGTTTATTACTAAGGACTTGTTTCGTTATGAAATCATCGATGTAGAAAAATAATAATTAAAAAAATAAAATCTAGAATTAAAATAAATGTTAGAGGTGTTGTCACACCAACATGCACTCACTATTAGTTGATTAGTATATCAGGTATCTTTTCATTATTAGATTTTAGTTAATTTGATACTCAAAATATGATTAACCTTTGACTTAATATGTTGACCTAATTTTGCTCGATACAATTAGAAATTGTGGATTCAATATTGGGATAAATTTTCCATTGATGTGCGCTTTTAAACCCTTGTTATTTTTTTACGAGTTGGTTGTAAGCAAGGGCATATTTAATTTAATTTGATAAGAGTCTCTATCCATACATTATATTATGATGTTAAATTTAGAGCTACCTAAAACGAAAGGACATACTCAATAGATTGCAAATGTTTAATATTTACAATTATAAACTAAGTCTCAACTTTTTCATTCAAAAGAACTATTTTAGTTTCGGTTTCAAAAGAATTATGTGCATAATATGATTGCATTGGAATAATCATCCCAATAACTTGCATGAAGATTCATTCAATGAGTGTTTAAGCCTAATTTAGTCAAAGATGATCTTACTTAATCATCTTGAATGAAGAAAGATTTTGGCATCTTAAAAAAGAATATCAATCTTTTAAAAAGACGAAGAATATCTTAAATATTTTGAAAGAAAGTAGAATCCTCTTCAAAGATGTTATAATCCCTTAAAAGTTGATATTTTTATAAAGTTATCAAGATATCTAATGAAAATAAGAGATATCATCTAGAAGATTATGAAAATAATGAGTTTTTATCTTTTATGAATGTATTCTTATACTCTCGTCTCCTATAAATAGATAAGAGGATGGTATTGTGAATGTAAGCTTAAATATTTGAACCCATCAAAGTTAGACTTTTATCTTCTTTCTTAATCATTCTTCTTCCACAACTCCATAATATTTCTAACAAAGTAGTATCATAGCTAAGTTACTTATGATGACCACCAATATATCATTCACTATCTTCCATCTCACTAATAACTATAAAAATTAGAGTATCCAAATGAAGGTCTTAATTGGATCACAAGATGTATTGGAAATATTAAAGAAGGTTATAATGAGCCCCAATATAAAGCTACACTAATGCCAACTTAAGAGGATTCCTTAAGGGATACGAGAAAGAGAGATAAGAAATCTCTCTTAGTTTATTAAGGGATTGATAAAAAAGTATTCGAAAAGGTTGTCATTGCCACTAACTCCAAGCAACCATAGGAGATTTCTAAAACTTTTTATAAAGAAATAGAGAAGGTAAAGAAGGTGTAACTCCAAACTCTAAGGGGTGAGTTTGAAACATTAAAGATAAAGGAAATGAAGTTCATTTTAGATTACTTCACAAGAGTCTTAATCATTGTGAACCAACTAAGAAGAAATGATGAGATATTACAAGATAGCAAAGTGATCGAGAATCTCTTAAGATCCTTAGATACAAATTTTGATTATATTGTGATGACCTATAAGCTCATGAATATAAAATACAAAAGAAGTAAGAACAGCATACTTTCCCTCAAAGATAAGAATGAAAAAGCTAAAGGAGAAAGAATCTAAACGGTTATGGTCATAGCCATGACCATGGTAGAGGCTATGGAAAAGGAGGACAAGCGATGAATAATGCTCCAATAAAAAAGAGAGGTGGTTCTTCAAGAGGAAGAAGATATAACAAATCCAAAGTTCATTATCAAAATATTGGTCATTGGTTATCAAAATATTGGTATAATGATTCTAAATAAGTTAATGAGAAGACTAACTATGTGAAAAAGGATAAAAAAAGAGGATGACTCTATCTTATGGCTAGCACAAAAAGGAGATAGAATAAGTCAATGGTTATTATTCAAGCTAAAATCCTTATTTAAGCTAAAAATAGATATCATCATTTTATTTTTAATATTTATTATGTGTCAAACATGAAGACTAACATTTTAAGTTTGATATAACTTTTGAAGAAATGATATAATGTGCATATGAAGAATAGAACTCTCACACTAAAAAATTAAGGCATGAAAATAATTGCACAAGTGCAAATGACCAAGAACAAGTTATTCATATTGAACAAAGTATATTGATAATAAATAGTTAAATGCTAACTTGAAAGATAGCTTTTGGATATGACACTTTGGACATCTCAACTTTAGTATACTTAATTTATTGTTAAAAAAAGTAATAATGGAAGAACCACCGTATATTAACTCTCCAAATCAATTTTGTAAAGTAAGTAACAAAGGAAGAACTATCCAAAGGAGTTAACTTATCATGCAAAGAGACCTCTTGAGCTAATCCACACCAATATATGTGGACTAATATCTCCAATTTTTTATGGTGAGTATTGTTATTTTCTAACATTCATGGATGATTTTAGTGCGAAAACTTGGTCTATTTCTTAAAGGAGAAATTAGATGCTTTTAAATATTCAAGAAGTTCAAAGCATAAGTGGAGAACTAAAGTAACTACACCATCAAAGTCTTATGATCGAATTATGGAGGAGAATTCACATGGAAGGAGTTTGAATGATTTTGTGAAACATGTGATATTCAAAGACCATTGATGGCGCTCTATTCCCCTTAACAAAATAATATGATGGAGAAAAATAATTGATCCATCCTCTAAATGATTAGAAGTATGCTAAGACGCTAACGGAATTTTAGAATAAAACTATTGCATGTGCCATATAGTAGTAGGAAGCTTGGATTAGTAAAAACTCTAATATTAAAGATTTTTGGATGTATTACATATGTTGATATTTCAAATTATAAAAGAACAAAAATGAATGATAAAAACTTCAAATATATTTTTATTAGCTATAATACCCAATCTAAAGCTTATAAGTTATTTAATCTAAAAAACATAAAGCGCATGTG